AAAAAATTTCCCCAGTTTATTCACCCTTTCGTGTTTGTTGTTGACTATCACACTCGATGGTTCTCCTTCTCTGTGTACCTTCGGTAAATCGTATTCTACTGGGGCCCTTGAAGCCTCTAGTAGGACTAAACTCATTGTCAGCTTGTGAAGTTACCCATTCATATTCGTTTCCATCAGCATCTTTGCGGAAGACCTTTGGTTTTAAATGCTGGATCGTTTGTATAGTAGTAGATAAGTTGTAGTCTCGTCGAGAATATTTTCCATTCATTTGTATTTTCTTCACGCTCATCACCACTGTAGCACCACCTTTGTCAGCTTTCATAAGTATTTGCTATTTACTTCTCAATTTTATATTTATCTTGGTTGTATTGCTCATATCCAGGATTTTTAGGATGTTCTCAATTTCTAGCTCTCTTTGTGATTCTTTAGATAGTTTCGCAGAGTTATTTATCACCTTCAATAAATTGTGCTTGATCGCCTTCCTTTCATTCTACAGTGAAAATTTAATCCCTTCTTGTGAATCTCTGTGATTTCAGAGTCAGGAATGATGAAGGATAGATTCAATACTTTATCTTCGCTTCTTGTCTGGACTGTGAGATCCATCATTTTAGAGTCATCGTCGTTTTTGTCGAGTGGTTGGACCTTGGGCTGCCTATATATCCCACATTTATTCAGCCTCTTCCGATAATTTTATTTGATTAAGTCCTATATCCTTTACGAAATTTTGTCTGTCATATTCTGTAGTTTCAAGTAATTCTACGGGGTGAGAATGTGACTCAAATCATGCCTGAGTCTAGATTTAATATCCAAAAACGTAAGTTATAAAACGTAAAGCCTGATTATAGGGTGACTTAAATATTAATACTCCTTTCTTAGTCTAGAGCACTTTTTTAGAAATCTGTAATTCATAAATATTCATTCAAGAACCAGATGTTTCATTCAACCTATAAAGGGTAAATCCAACACATCGCGTCGTGCTTAGGCAAAATACTTAAACTAAGGTAAGTTAAAATAAAGCTTAACGGAAAAGTAAAAATTTTTGCTTAGCTTAAATATATTAATTTATGAAATTTTTCGTGTAATGCGCTTCTCCTGCCTTTTCCCCTCAGATGGCGCGTATATTTGACAAAAAGGCAGAGATTGACCTCATCCGCTCAATGTATATAGAAGGAGAAGAATTAAATTTTCATGATGCCGATTTGGTCAAGCGTTTCTACTCATTGTTTGAGATTATTGACGAACCTGAGGATGTTGGTATAGGATTCTCCCTCAAGGTATTCTTCATCATGTTATTGAACTTTTAGCTTATGAATATGATTGAATTATCTATATTCTTGCCTGTAGGATATCCTTCTGCAACTGATGCTTATCCATCTAAACCAAGAATTACTATCCGTGGTCTTTCTTCTGCACTAATTAATATTCGCTCTCTTTCTCATGAATTCGAAAAATGGTTGGAGCAGAGTGACGCTAAAGGGGCACCTATTTTGCTTTCTGTGATAGAATGGATGTCAGAAAATTTAGCAAACCATTTAGTATCTGAACCATCTGAGTGCCTTGTACCCACTCCGAACTGCACTCCTTCCCCGGACTCCTTGTTTGTGTGCCTCTTCATTCATAGTCATCATATAGTTAATCACGTTAAAAGGCAAAACATTTTGCGCTGGGCTAAGGAGCTGAATCTTTGTGGTGGCCTGATGCCTGGTTGGCCTGGCATTATAGTGGCAGAAGGGACCAAAATTGACGTGAGCAAATTATATATGCCTTGTTTTACTTTCCCCTACATGTTTTATTATACATTGGCTTTATAGTTATGCTTTAATTGTATACTTTGCCAGAAGGCTGTTTTCATCAAAGACCTTTGAAACTATAAATATGTTACCAAGTATGCCCTGCGATTATTCTTTATCCTTTTGATATCCAATACCAGGGCTTTATTTTAAGTAACCTGATAAATGCTCTCTCCACTCTGGCGTTGGATATGCCTGACAAACACATTCACAATATAATCAAGTCAATCATATTATTTTTTAATGTCTCGTGACATTCCTTAAATACTTTTAAATCTTCATTCATTTTAATGGTTGCATATTTCTACCATTTGCAACATACCTAGGACCGAAAAATTA